CGGCAAGAGGCCCAAGGAATCACCAACATGATGAGCCATATAAACCGCAAGAGAAGAAACAGCGTGGACTGTTCAAGACTTCCTGCATGGATGGAGGAATTGGTCCAGCAAAGCTCAGGTTCACCGTCGAGGCCGGAACCGTCCACAGCACCGGCTCTGTGCAAGAAGGCGTCCATGATCTCCGACAAGGGCGACTTGAGCAAGGAATCCATCTTGGCAGCTTTTGGTTTTGATGAATCCCAGATCGTCGCGATCGACGGGGACAACATCGTAGAGGTTTCGAGCGAGGATGGCCAGCCTGGCAAAAAAGCAATCTGCTCCTCGAATCCTACTGCAGGAGCAGCGAGCTCTTCGAAGCCTTGGACTGATTTCTCGGCATGGAAGGCAGTCCGGACGCAGGCCGACGGCACCTTGGAGGAGCACGTGGACCTGTTTCAAAAGGACTCGGAGCCCTTCTACTTCGCGGCCTTCGCAGACGGCACGGAGTACCTCACGGAGCTCCCTGTTGGCACCAAGGATCCGCCCCCGGTCAATAAGAAGCCCAAGGCCAAGGCTAAGCCTAAGAAGGCTGCCATGAAGAAGCCCGCGTCGAAAAATCAGTCTCCGAAGAAGAAGCCAGCCTCGAAAGTTCAACCCGAAGCGGAGGCCCCAGATCCGCTTGCCGATGTGGAAGCGAAGACTTCGGCAGAGGTCGAGATCGATGAGCCGAAGGCCAAATCGAAGCCCAAGGCCGTTGCAAAGAAAAAGTCCGAGAAAAAGTCAGAGAAGCCGAGTCTGAGCTGCACGGTGAACTCGAAGTGGAGCATCATGTACTACAAGTTTCCAAAGAATGCCTACGGCATCCGTGAGAAGGGCAAGTCCCAGTTGTTTCAAATACTTCGCCGTGATAAAGATCCGTTGACAGTGAGGTCGCAGATCGTGCACCTGGGTATCCCCAAGCTCGAATCGGGCACAGACCCGACCGAGGTCAAGGAACTTTTGTTGAAGTCTGTGCACAAAGCTTAAGCTGCATGCGTGGGTGTTTGGAGAGCGGTTTCCAAACGGAGATGCCTTGGGAGTTGCATCTGTAGCCTATGCTAGCTGTTTTAAGCGGCCAGATTATCTGGAGTGTGCAATCGTCGGACGATCCGGGCCTCCAAAAGTTGCTGCCAGAGTGCCCAGCCATGCTATTTTTGCGATCTAGGCTGTCATGCATGATTGAGGTGAAGAGGAGCTGCAGTGTGCATATTTATCGAACCCTAATATATATATATATATATATATATATATATGCATGTTTCTACATTTTACTTATAATATATATATATATATATATATATGCTTAAACCCCAAACCCAAAACCCTGAATCTACTCGGCCAGGTACTATCGTCGGTGGCTTCGAGGATCCCGGACAGGTGCGTTTGCGTGGGCGGCTTCCGTTGCAGAGTATATCTAAGAGACCAGGTTAAATGTGTGCACGGGACATGCATGGCATGTGTGTGTGTACACATGCACATGTATACATACATGCATGCATGCATGCTTGCGGCCCAGGTTCTGGATCCGGCTCCGATGCTTCTGCAGTGCAGGGTTTAGGGTTTTAGGGTTCAGGGTTTAGGGGTTTAGGGGTTTGGGGTTTAGGGGTTTAGGGGTTTAGGGTTTAGGGTTTAATTGGGGTTTAGGATTTAGGGGTTTAGGGGTTAAATTTAGGGTTTAGGGATTAGGGTTTAGGGGTTTAGGGTTTTAGGGTTTAGGGTTTAGGATTTAAGGGTTATAAAACAAAAGCATAATTTTGCGATAATCCTCGACCCCGAGGCGTGAGATCCTCATCGCTCGGCTTTGGGATGATGTGCTTCCGAGGGTTCTTTTTTAATTATTGTGGTGTATAATCTTAAGGAGCTCAGAAGCTCCTCATGTATACGATCGTAGCATGCATGCATGATGTAAAGACCGAAACCCCGACTTAAGAGCTCTGCGTGCAGGAGCTTCGTGCTCCTGAATTATAAAGCTATAATATATATGCTCCTTATATGTGCCCAGGCCGCTGCCGGGTTGGCATCGGTGCAGATCTGCACTGCAAGGACGATCGAGCTGCATGTCTGATGTGCAAACACGTGCAGAGGTCGTTGCATGCGTGGCATTATATCTAGAATGAAGGTGCATGCATGTCGTACGATTGCAAGCACTTGGCCCGAGACGACCAAAGCTGTTAGCCCTCCCTTCGAACCAACATCCTCGGATCCATGGGGAACGACCTTGGTAAGGCATTGCAAGGAGCCGCTGATGCCGTCAACAGCAGCTCAGGACAGCAAGGCCAGCAAGGCCAATTGCCGTTCCCGAATGCATGGCCGATCGGCGTGAACCCTGCATTCCCGCCCCCAGCACCAGCACCACCCCAGCAGCAGTGGGATCCAAATGCCCAGTGGTCCACTACGAAGGGCCAGACAAACTGGGATCCCAATGCCCAGAACAAGAAGCAATCATGGGCGAAGAAAACGTGGGATGACAAGTCATGGCAGGGCTACAAGAAGGGCGGCTCCAATGAGGGCGGGTCCAATGATCACGGCTCGGGATCTGGTGGATCTGGCGGCAACAGCGAGTACCTGCGAGCATGTAAGGCCTGCGGTCGAGCAGGTTATCTTCGGAATGGCCTATGCCTGAACGAAGAATGCGTGGCTGGGACAGCAAGCAGTATAGAGGCTACGACTATATATATAGGAGCTAGTAACTTAAGCTCCTGAAATTAACATTTAAGGCCAAAATCACCAAACCCCCAAACCCTAAACCCCGAACCCTAAAATACATGAACCCTGGGATCCGAGGTGTAATCTTTCCTAAGCCTGCCACAATACAATTCCAGTCAGCTAGCATGTATATTTATTGGAATGAATTAAAATCATGCACCTATAGACGGACCCTGACATATATAGTTTTACCGACAATATTATATATATATATATATATACATATAAATTTCGTTGTCTTTATCAATCTACTCAATATCTTTCTGTCGTTCGAAGCTTTCTGTCGTTCGAAGCATTAATATATATAGCACCGAACCATTAAAATTAACCCAAAGTCTCGCGAACTTAGGCCTTGAGCATCTGGGGGCAGGAGACGGCAAGTGTCGGAAAGCGGCTCCACGCATGGGGCAACAAAGAGAGCGTGGAGGATCTTGGAAAAAAGGTGCATGGTGCCAGGACGAGACCTACCACCAGGGGAACCAAAGGCCAGAGGCACCGCTCGTGGTGGATGCAGAAATCGCCGGAAGAACAACGGATGATCAAAATCGAACAGTTCGAGAAGAAGAGGAAGGAGATGCCCGGCGTGATCGATCTGCTGGCGGAGGAGGAGGAGGAGGAGGAGGAGGAAGAGACGGAGGAGGAGCCGCCACTCGACAATGGCCACCCGGATAAAAAGCGTCGCTTCGAGGATGACGATCATAAGGACAATGATGGTTCCGGCGATGGCAATGCTAAGCTGGGGCCCGTACCCCTGCCTGCGGGCAGTTGGGTGCTGTAGATCATGTTCCCTGGGTTTCAGTGTTCGATCAGGATGATCCGAGCAGGCAGTTTCAAGAAAAGAACCGGTGCAGATTTGCACTGCGAGTGCATGGGATGTCCTTGCACTAGTGCATGTTTGCACTGCTTAAGATCGTGGTCTGCAAAACTTCAAGAACCCTGTGTTCAGGAGCCGTCGGCATGGACCCAGAGAGGCCGGATATGTTTGGGGCTGGGTGTCCGGGCTAAGGGCCTGGAGCAGGGTTTTCTTACATTTCAGCATGCAGTGCATGTGTTCTCTTGCACTGATCGATGGACATGTGCAGTTCTCTGCAGTTGCTCCTGTGTTGTGTGTGGCCCTTTGTGCACAGCTCCACTTCTATTCGCTGGCCCAGGGTCAGCGACTTTCGCCTGGCCGGACGAATGCTTGCCAGGGCCCAGCAGCTTTATAAATCGGTGTCTTCAGGCTTTGGGAGTTGAGGGTTCAGGGGTTTAGGGTTTAAGGTCGGGCTTTGTATTAAGATGATATATAATCTTCGGGTGTCAGGGCTGCATGATATTCCTATGTATAATTGTATATATATATATATATGTATACATATATATATATATATATATAGGTCATACATATATATATATATATATGTATATGGGATATATAGCTAGCAGCTTGGCGAGCGGGTTTCTTTCATCGGGCACAGGGCTTTCATTCGGGTTCTAAATGTTTTCCAGCTTAAAGGAGCCCATGGCTCCTGCCATGACGAAGCCACCAAAGCTTAAAGCACGAATCACGATGCCACCGTAAATCCCCGAACACCACAAACACCGAAACCCTAAACCCCGAAACCCCTAAACCCTAAACCCACGAGCCACCAGAGCTTAAGACCAGAAACCATGTATTACGATTGAGATCGATCACCGGGTCAGTAGAAACCCCAAGCGGCAACAGCACAGGTTAAATCGAGGTTAAATTTAACCTCGATTTAACCTCCATTTAACTTTCAATCAAGAGCTGTTACAAAGTTAAGTTAACGATTTAACTTAAGTTAAACTGAGGTTAAATCTAACCTCCATTTAACCTCGCATCTGTTTCTTGATGTGTTTCAATAATTCATTATCAGCCCGCACAACAGTGGCAACAGATCAGAAACCGTTGCAATTGTTGGCGACCAATCCTATATACGTACCTTGGAAACACGAGCACCCAGAATACACCAGCATCCGAAACCACAGCAGAAAACCATACTTAGCCCCGGCCCTTGCCTATAGGAGCCTGTGGCTCCTTACACCATCCCAGGTGCAACGTGCCCGAGTTCTGCTGGCCTGCCTGCTTGTTTTTTGCAGTGGCTGTTCTGGAATGCAGCGAAAGCAGGAAGTGCGTAAGCTTTCAATATCAAGATCTAGGCTCGAACATTATTTCTCGATCTTTGCCCGTTGTAGCAGCACCCATGGCTCCCAAGAAGAAGACCGGCAAGCAAGCCACCGATCCAGCAGCAGATAAGAAAAAAGCTACCAGCAACATGCTGGGACAGTGCAAGCTGGCCAGGCAGAAGCTAGAGAGTGCTAAGGCCCAAGGCGACAAGGCGGACCCCAGCCTCGTAGAGGACCTTGAGAGGAAGGTAGCATTCCTAGCGGAATACGAGGCTCTGCCTCTCCGTGACAAGAAAAAGGATGCAATGCTGCAAAGCTGGTCCCAGGATAAGAGCCTAAAGTCCTGGGCCGAGATGCACTGCAACTATACCCAAGACAAGGGCACCGAGTCCCGGGATCGCTCGAACTACGGCACCAAGCAACTTCGGAAACATATGCGTGGAGCTTTGGGTGTCGGGGTTGGCCAGGGTAATAGGAGCTGACAGCTACCTTGGCAACGGAGGTTTTCAGTGAAGCTATATATCAGGCTTGAGGCTCAAGGTTTTCATTGGGATTGTGTTACCCAGCCTTGAGGAGCCGAGGCCTCCTGAAAGACCAAACCCCGAAACCTACTAAACCCTAGAGCCCCACAAATTTCCTAGAGCCCCGTAAACCTCTTGACTTAAGAAGGATCGACAACCCCCGAGGAAGGCTAGAAATGATTATGGATTGCTAGTTCACAAACCATCTATAGATATATATTTATTTTTGAGCATTCGGATCATTAGTGTCTAGCCTCAAGGAGCCCAGGGCTCCTGAAAGACGAGACCCCAAACCCTAAAGCCCGAAGCCCCCTAAGACCGTGAACCTCCAAACCCGGAAAGCTTAAACCCCCAAACCCCGAAACCCCTTCACCCCCAAACCCCGAAAAGTATAGATTGTGGATCTGTATATATATATATATATATATGTATGTGTGTGTGTGTTTACACTTGCTTGCAAAGGTACGAAGTTGCGGCTACGCTGAAGCTGGACGTGAAGGACCCAGCTCAAAAGCGTATCCTCGACGAGACCTTGAAGGACATGGATTCCGACTCCGACTGGGACGAGTCCAACCCCTTGGAGATGGCCATGAAAAAGCAGAAGCTTCGTCGTTACACTTGGACAAAACATGAAGGCACAGAACACACCATGGGTTCCAAGGAGAGCACGTCTGTCGTCGTGAGCAAGGATGTGACGAAGCACGTGGCGAAGGCAGGTTTGAAGATGATCACAGAAGGAGCATCCTCGGCGACCGGCACCACCCCCAGCGTGAAGATCGAGCATTTATTTTCCAACGAAACTTCCGTTAGCGCGCGTTTGGGAAACCCTAACTGCGCTGCAGAGGAACCCTGTGCAAAACACTCTCTTTTTTCTCCTAGCGGACATGGGGGGTCAGTTCGGGCCCGATCTTCGGGCACTGACGAAACGATGCATCTCGATTCAAAACTCGACCGCTGGTCGATGGTAAGGCGAACGACTGGTTCACCCCTCGACCGCTGGTCGATGGTAAGGCGAACGACTGGTTCACCCCCCCCTACCAGGGAAAAACCCGTACCACGGGAAGATAAGGTGAAACATTCTCTGACCTACTGGGTCACTGCAGCTACAAGTTGCTACTCTGTAGTCTGACGGCCTACGGCCTATGTACAACTGCGCACTCTGTGCTTACGCCTCTCTGCGAGAGAGAACATAGGAGCGCTGCTCCGGGCAGCTCTGCTGCCGAAGAGGTGTCCCGGATCCCGCATACTATACAGGGTGTGGTGGGTGGGACAAAAACTTTTTGGATCACAGATCCAACTCCAAGCCGAAAGCTGCACGGCAAAGTATGTCTAGTGTCACTCGCACACAAGTGAAAACACTGTTTCCCTTTTTCGACAAACTTTGTCTACACTTTCGGCGGAAAATAAAACCCATTCACGCACGCATGATGGATGCTTATTTTCCAACGAAACTTCCGTTAGCGCGCGTTTGGGAAACCCTATAACTGCGCTGCAGAGGAACCCTGTGCAAAACACTCTCTTTTTTCTCCTAGCGGACATGGGGGGTCAGTTCGGGCCCGATCTTCGGGCACTGACGAAACGATGCCACTGGCATCTCGATTCAAAACTCGACCGCTGGTCGATGGTAAGGCGAACGACTGGTTCACCCCCCTTGAAGGCACTCGAAGCCTTACTCACCCCCCATCTAGTCCGCGCCGAGTGACAAAGCCAACGGCACTGCGTTGGGAGGCAGGTATTGGCGCGCTGCGCCTAGCCTCTCGGTCTCTTCCCACCAGTCTCTGCTGGGGCCATCAGCGATGTTGCTGTCTGTCGGAACTCGGAAGAAAGCAGCCCTGCACTGCAGAGACTCTTCGAAGTCCACCGCTTGCGAGACTATCGCTGCACCTTCTACCTTGCGTGTGAAGGCCTTGTGTAAGGAGGTACGCGCTGCGTCGTTGTCTATCCAGACGAACAGGTCACTGCCTGCTATATGCTTGGCCCACAGTTGAAGGCTAAGCAAATAGGGCAACAGCTCGCACTCGTAGACCAGCTGCTGCTTCTGTGCTCTGGCAGCCCACTGGGCTGCAACCTGGCTGCTGATCTGAAGCCCCCAGGTGAAGGCGATGCCTTCTCCAATGAGCACTGCTCCGAGGCCACACTTGGGCACCAGTCGCGGGATCTCCCACTCGCAGGCCCCGTCGATGTACAGATGCACCTTCCTGCGCGCATGAATGGACACTGTCCTGGGCGGACCGTGCACTACTCGTTGCAGCAGGAACGCCATGGCTTGGCACTGCTGCTCGGTGAGGGGGACTTGCTCTGGTCCGTCCCCAAGGACGTCGCCTACGCAGATCACTGCCATGCGAGTATTGCGACCCCAGGCTTGCTGCTCAGCGAAGATGAGCCTGCCCCGCAGGCTCTGCGCTTCCAATGGGGACATGCTGCCCCGGGCGAGGGCCTCGCTGAGGACCAATCCCAGCTCTGCTGCACGGGTCGGCTTGTTACTCACGGAGATTTCTCCAAGGTGCTGCTTGGACAAGTCGACTCGCACGCCTAGCACGTCAAAGACTTCGCTGAAGTCGGCGTTCTTCTTGGGCTCTGTGGCCACTTGCCAGCCCAGCTTGTTAAAAAGGTTGGACACTGCCAACGTGACGAGCTTCGAATGCGCGCTGCGCGTAAGAACGGTGAAGTCGTCGAAGAAGCTCGTCATGACCAAAGCAAGCTTTTCGCGGCCGATGGCCTTCAGCGCCTCACTGCAGCGGAGGAAAGCGTGCACGGCAGCCACTGCGCCGAAAGGCATGCTGTGTAGGTGGGCGATTTTGACCTTCCCACTCTGTGGGTCCACCATGACGATGCACGCGAATTTCTTGTGTGCGGCCTGCACTGCAAGCTGCTTGTAGGCACTCTTGAGGTCCCAGGTCCTGCCTACTATGCGGTGAGCCCGCTCTGCGGGCACACCCTGGCGCAGCCACTCGAGGCACACGGCAAGGAGCTCGTCGATGCTATCGACTTGGACCTTCTCTGTGGTCCCGCAGCAGCTGTTGATAAAGCTGCTCTTAAAATTATCAATGGGGCGCACCTTGCCCTTTTGCACGACACCGAAGCGAGACGATACTATCGTCTCGTGCAGACTTTCCGGAGAAAAATCCTCCAAAGAGAGCCAGCCCTGCTGGCCTTCTTCTATTGTGCTTTCCCAGACTCTGTCCGAAACCCCTTCCTGTGAGGGGCGTAGAGCGCTGCGGACGCCGCGCATGCCTATGCTATGGGCGTTTTCCAGAATCGACTTCTCATCTAGAGAAGGAGGCAGAATCTGCACTGGCCACAACCCACTGGGTTGTATCCAGCCAAGCAGGGGAAAGCCTTCCCGCACCTGCTGTGCCAAGGTCTTGTCCGGGAAGTCGATTTCATTGAGAAGCTTTGCTAAAGCTACTGTCTGCTTGGGCTTGGTGACACTGTTCACCTGAGCGTCATTAGAGGAACGTACCCCGGTCTCGAGGGCTTGGCACTCTGTGCAAGTTCTCGATATATGCATCGATGCCAACGTGCGACGCTTGGCCAGCAGGACAGTGTCCTCGTGCACTTCGGCGGCGATGGCACGCTTGAGGGATAGAGGCACTGCCTCAATGTCTCTGGCTGGGTGATCTATGAGATGCGCTCTGCGCACCCAGTGTAGAGGCTGCAGCGGGATGGCGATGATGGCCTTTTGTGAGGCTTCGATCCACTGGATGAGCCTGGAGCCTTTTGGGAAGCAAGTCCACGACTGTGGTAGCTTCTGGGGGGTCTTCCAGCCTCGAAAGCACCGCGCTGCGGGGCCTTGCAGAGTGACTTTGTCACTGAAGTCTGGCTCGTAGCGCAGGCGACGCAGACGCTTGCGACTGAGAGGCGCTGCCTGGAGTGCTGCTGCGCACTGGTCTGCCGCGAGGGAGACCCAGACCGAGCTCAGCTGAGTGGTGTAGGCGCTTTCTAGGGAAGTGGACCACACTGTGGAACCATCCACTGAGGCTCTGCCCCAAGGCAGGTGTTTATGTCCTCCGTCGCAGTCCCTGCTTAGACCGGAGAACCAATCCAAATTGGAGAGGATTGCAGTACGCTTGCGGCGCATGCTTCCGAACATGCACGCGTCAAACTCCACTCTGTGAGCTGACCGCAAGGCCTCTCTGAGGCAGGGCATCCTCCAAAGAAGGCTACGGGCTGGATTTTCTATGGACCAGCAGACGCCGCGCTGCGACAGAGAGTGGCAACACTGTGCCATGAAAGCGACTAGGCTGTTCGCGCTGCGAACTCGTGCTGCGTCTGCTCCTCGGAGGCCTTTAAGGCCTGCCGGGCGCGACTCGCTGCGCAAAGGGCCCGGCGCTCCTGGCCTGGGAATTTCTCTAGCTCTGCTAAAGGTGCCGCACGGCGGGGCCCAGTGGACCCATCTCAGGTCTTGGTGTGAGAGCACTGCCCTCAGCAGGTTGCGACCCAGCTGCGTACAGAGGTCGAGTTGGAGGACCTTGAGGCCTCTGGCCTTCGTCTTGTGATCCACTGCGACGTTCGAGAAGCCTTTCTCGATGGCTGCCTTACTAAGGCGACCGAGGCCGCAGAAAACTTCCACAAACAGTGGCGGCCGAGGGGTCGCTTTCAGAACGGGCTCAGGGAGAGTAACTCCCGGAGCGTTGTCTGCAGGCACGCTGTGCTGTTCCGACAACAGGAGCGCGGGGGGGTCGTCGTTTGCCGGTAACCCTGCGTCAGGCGACGGCGCAGCTGTGGCACATCCTGGCTTACTTGTTGCAGGCGGGTGCGGCAACGGTGCCGAGGTAGGGGGTTCAGGGCTTGGCGAGGTGGCAGAGAGGCCCAGCGCTGCTGGGCCAGGAGCTGCGGGCGCAGTGGCCGAGGGCTGTTGCCCCTGCGTTCTTGGGGCAATCTGCGGCACCGTGGTCCGTGCTGCCGCAGCTCATGCACTGATGCAACCCCCTGTCGCACTGCTTGGGGGATCCGGAGGTCTCCAGGTCGCACCCGCACTGCAGGTTGAAACCGTAGCAGGCCCTTGCCCTTGCGACCCCTGTCCGCCACTGGCGAGGGGAGCAGGTGCAGCGTGACAATCGGATCGGACCACATGTTCTCTACTAGAGAATCTAGTGGCCTCTTACCATCCTTGTCCGGTTTGCAACCCTTGCGACACTCGCGCGAGCAGCGTCCACAGTTCTTTATCGGCCCGTACTACGTGCCAACTGTTACCGCGCTCCATCCCCGGCGGCGCTGGCCGGTTCAGGACGGAGAAGAACTGTCTCACGAGTCTCTCGTGAATCGTGAAATCCAACACGCCGACTCTGTCGAGCGCGAGACCTCGGCGCGTGAGCGCCTGCGTGAGCTTTAGCTCATTGCCGATCTCGACGCGCACGCTGTGCTCCTTTTTCTTTACCGTGATTTCCCCAGACTCTAGGGAAAGGAAGTCCTTGTCACGCCTCACTGAGGCGATTTCGGCATCCCGGCTGACGCACTGCGACGGCGGGATGTAACGCACGATGCCGTCCTGCAGCATGAGCGCGGCCTTGTCCACGAGGCTGTGCGCGGGGTCGTATAGTCACCTTCGATGACAACGCCCCGGAGGCGCGCGACTTGCGTGGCGCGGCGCTCCTCGCGCTCGTGCAGGGGCAGACTCTTGGGGGTGACACTGTCACCCTCTACCCTCATCTTCAGGTCCTGGATGCTGAAGGTGAGGCTTTCGAAGGCCAGGCGCCGCGCTGCGGCTTTGGTGCCTAAGGTCGGCTCTGCCGCCCCGAAGACCTTCTTGATGAGTTCTTCAAACTTCGCATCGCTGATGCGGTCAGGTTGGTCGGCGACGCTGTACGCGAGCGTGCCGAAAGTGCGGATGTCTGCCGCAAGGAGCTTCGCCGACTCGGCGGCTCCTAGGAGTTGTCCAGCTCTGCTGGAGAATTCCGCGACACTGTCGACGAGGTTCGCCATTGTCCTGCAGGGCAAGTGAAGATGAAAAAGAGAGAGAGACGCAAACGCGGAGCAGACTGCAAGACCCTACTAGGACGGACAGGCTCGTAAACTCGCTCTCTTTTTCACTCTGCATCGAAAGACTTGCTGCTCCAGCAAGTCTTGCAGTGCGGTCGGCCTGGTGCGAGTTCGCGAACTTCGCAACTCGTATACTTTTCATTTAAG